TTGGTTTTTTCTTGCAGCTGGAAGAAAATGTTTATAAGTATTAATTACTAGTTCATCGGCTACACCATTCAATATCATCAATGTTTATAATTTTTTTCGTCTTCTTGAATGAAAGCCTATTCTAATTAGTTGATTATGTTTTTGATAGAGACATTTTGAAGATACAGAACTCGAAAACAACAGAAGAGATGGTAACCCTACCATTTTTGAGTTTTCTGGTTCGAGCTTGCTGCGAAAAAGACGTGTTTTGATAACTACAGAAAGGCACTCGGAGAAAGAAAACTTTCCAACTTCCATATGTATGTAGCATTGCATTTACCAAAAAACGTCGAATCGTATCAAGTTTCGTGTGCATGCTCGTTTATATTTCTGTTTTGTGTGTTTTTCCTTGTGCCGCCGTGCTTGTTATTTATATGTGAAATTCGGTCCTGAAAGTCATGTCTACGACATTCAATCTGGTATTAATTATATTTGTTGTATGTCTGCTTATATTAGGGTGGCCATACGTACTGCTTGTGTATGATTTGCCTTCCGTTTTTAATAAAGAATTTACGTCCTCCGAGGACGCTTAAAAATGCCAAAATGTCCTCCTTTTTCACGGGATTAAATATTTGAATTTATCTTATGATATAATCAACAGTTTGTAATATGTCAAGTATCCATGCTTTGAGTCTGTTGTTAGTATACCCACTTAGTTCCCAATTTTAACGGCATTCTTGCAGACAATTGTACGATAAGGAAAAAATAACCCGGTAATGTTGACGAAGATCAAAAAAACTGCCGAATACTCACGGTCACCATTTACGGTTTGGAAATATGGTCACCCTAGCTTATATGTACGTCTGTTATATATCCTCTTATATGTCTGCACTTATTTGTTTGTTTTCATTACTTGTTCGTTTGTTTGAAACGTGTATGTGTATATTTTATGTGTAATAAATAAAATATCACACGACATAGCCACTATCTGTTGATTTGTAATTTAAACTCTCATTATATATCATGGCATCTCAGTATGTGAACACAGCTATTGTCGGCCAGTTTCCCGTCAGGTTATTTCCGAGGTGCCAGAAGATGAGGCTTTATTAGCTGAAGAAAAAAGTACTACGGGGCCTGATTGTTCTACCTGCAGAGCACTATTGTCTGAAAACAGAAGACTAAAATTCCAAGTAAATATTACGTTTTTTTTTGCTTAATTGTCGAAATTCTGGTGCAACCTAAGTGATAACCATTAACGTGTATTTTAGTCAATTTGAACTAACAACATAGTTATTGAGCTTGATTAAATCTTCTCGTTACTTGCATCTTAGATTTCACAACTACAAAAACAAGTGGAGAAACTGAAGGAAAATTTACATACATTTTTGAATCCTGACCAACTGGAATCACTGAAAAAGCCTCGTGGTAGCAGGGCAAATCAATGGACTGACGAAACAATTCTTTCTGCCCTGCAAATTAGATGTGCGACAGGAATTTCTGGGTATGATAAAAAAAAAATAAGTTCAGTCTCTGCTGAGATTCTAAAAGTTGTTAAAAACCAATTATGCGTAATTAATTTCTGGGCATGCTCAAAAAAAATATATTTAAATTTTGCGTTTCCGGAAACATGATACATATATATATATACGTAATACATATAAACATTGCGGTAAACGTCACCTTGAATGCAAATGAACATGATATATTTATTTGTTTTTTTAAGGTACGAATATCTGCGCAAAATAGCGTTCCCCCTTCCAGCTTATCGAACGTTATGTTCACGGGTATTCAAATTGGATCTGAAAGCTGGGGTTCAATATTTGATATTGGATTGGATGAAGACAAAAATGGAAGGCTTGGATACTCGTGCTCATTTGTGTTCGGTAATGCTGGATGAGGTTCAGATATCCAGAGGAGTCGACTACGACATTGGCATTAAGGAGTTTGTTGGTTATATTAACCCTGAAGTTCTTGGTGGAAAACCTCTAGACACGTTTGCCTCACATGCGCTATGTTTCATGGTTAAGGGAATTTCTCTGAAGTGGAAGCAGCTTATAGGTGGGGTGGAATACTCTTTGTTTTGCTCATTATTTTGTTGTTTTCTATCAAACATAGTAGGCTATTCCAATTTGCTGTGACTTCTCAGGTTATTTTTACACCGGAACTTCTGTGAGCGGAAATGACCTATGGTGCTTAACCAAACAAATGATATTAGCTCTATCAGAACGTGGATTCACGGTGGTTTCTATTGTCAGCGACATGGGATCCAGCAATCAAGCAATGTGGAGAAGTGCGGGGATAGTTTCTAACAGGTTTGAATAATTTTAAGGATGTGATATCCGCGTATACATATATCACGAAGAAGCCTATCCATTACAATTTACACCATATTAACTTCTCATTGCTTACTCTATTTTAGATTCGAAGTGAATTGGTCTGTGCCTCACCCTGCTTTCGAACATAGGAAACTTCATTTTATTGCCGACGTACCGCACCTTATAAAAAATTTACGAACAGCTTTTATGAATCATGACATTGAATTGCCAGCATCTGTCGTTACGAAATATAATCTTCCGACAAAAATGGTGAGTATCAAAAATGTGCTTGATAAAAATGCGCAGTAAGTGTATTATACCTATAGGCTAAATCTAAAATTTATCTAACCACAGGTTCGATTCTGTTACGTTGAGAAAGTGGCAGATGAACAGAGAGAAAAAGAGATGAAACTTGCCCCAAAGCTCACGGAGAAGCATATAAAACCTTCAAAATATCAAAAAATGAGAGTTGGTCTAGCGGCTCAGGTCTACCTGTATTTCAGTATATTTCTACCTATTTAAAAATATTGAAGTAACAGTATAAAAGTCGTAATTTCACATTTTTGCTGAAATAAAATATTGTTAAATCATTTTTTTTCTTCATAAACCAATGAGTTAGAATTTTACATTAAACTCCATCTTTCATAGGTTATCAGTCATAGTACAGCATGCGCAATAAAAACGCTTGTGGAGAGTGGCGTACTGCCAAGAGATGCTTTGTCGACATCATTCTTCTGTTCATTCTTCAACAAATGGTTCGATATTGTAAACGCCAGGTCCATTGATAATGCTCTGTTCCCTAACTCTCGAAAAAAGCTCGATCACCTTATCGAGGTCTGTTGTAAGTGACACATCATATATATTGTAAGTAAAATCGCATACTAAACGGGCACCAAATATTTTAGGTGATCGGCGTCGTACAGAATTTAGTATTTCCAGGAAACAAATCGAAGCCAATTCAATCCGGTATTAAGTTATCAACAACTTCGATAATCGGGCTTCATGCTGACATTGTGCTAGGCGGAAAAATGAATTTTTTACTACCTGGAAAACTAACACAAGATGCTGTAGAGAATTTATTCTCTCAGGTTATTTTTTGTCTTATCTTTCAGTACAGCGATAGAATATATTAAATAAATCGTAATTGCATTTATATAGTCGTATGGTGATCTCTGAATGAAATGTTTTTAACATCACAGGTGCGAAGTAAGGGAAATTCGCATCCGAAGGCATGTCAATTCCGAAATGCAATAAAATTAATATCGGTTGGTCAGTTTCTCCACGTTCCCTCGAGTGGAAATTACGACACGGACGACTCAGAAAACTTGATAACATTTATAAAAGAACATAGCAATGCCTCATATTCTTTGACGAATGATGAGCCACAACCGAACATCGAAATCAATGAAGTGGACGCACTTATTGAATCTGCAGTCGTCTGCATGGACATTTGCGAGTCCAACGGGCTTTATTATATTTTAGGATGGGCTGTTTTTAAAGAACTTAAAAATATAGAAAAATGTGAAACGTGTGAAAAATCATTTTGTAGGCAAGAATATACGATCAATATGAAGGATTGTCCCGAAGCCCTTTTAACACTTTTTAAATCATATAATAAAGACTTAATATCAACCGAAAATTCGATGCACCTGATTCATCCATCACTGTCCCTGCTTAAATATTTTCAACAACTGGAATCTATTTTTCGGCTCAACATAAAAACTTTAAAATTGCAGCCTAATCCAAAAGCATTATTAAAACAAAAAATCGAATGCTTAAGACGACCATTGTTCTCCAGTTGCCATAATTTAATTGAAAAAATTATAGATAGATACATTCTCTTGAGAATGCGAATTTATGCTAGGAGAGCAACCCAAAAAAGTATATGCCACCAATATGCTAGCAGAAGCGCTGCTCGCGCAACAAATATTAGGTAGTCAAAGACCTGTATATATATTTTGATTCCATTTTGAAATTTTTTGATTGTTTTTAATTTATTCGATTTTGTTAGGTACTCTTCGATGTTCTACTTCATCAACGTTACGGTTATCATTAATTATATTACACGAATGCATTTATACTATTAAAATATATTTTCAGCTAAATTCCGTCGGCCACTTACATATTGTTCAAATATACAGTATATTTTTGTCCTAGTGAACTATGCGTGTTCGACTGTTTGTTCCATGCGCAAGAGTAGTTACGCGTGTTCGGATTTATAGCAAAATAATACATAATTTGATAATAATAAATCCCATTTTCACAAGGTATTTGAATTGTGTAGGGTTTTTATTTTAAATAAGGACTTGGATCTAATTACATAAAATCCATTGTTGCGTCAGAATACTTGCATTGTTAAGCGTCAAATCGGTATGTCGCAATAAAGATCTCCGAGGACCTGATCGAAAAATTGCACAACGTTGTCTCTGCGGCCAATTTTTTTGCAATAGATAGTGTTGTACTTCATATTTTATTACATATTTACATAGTTCATAGCTTGGCGTTGAAAATCCACCCTTCGGTTTCAGTCTTGCTCCACTAACAGCTGAGTTATTTGATTCGGTACAACAACACGACGAAAATTTCCCATAAGACTCCATTGTTTCGTGTTTTCCAAATATGGCACAAGATGGCGTCCATGGACCTGTTTAACATTAGGCAAGTTGGTTGCCGGCCCTTGGAATCGATTCGCTTCCTGGTCGCGGCTTCAGAATATTTTTTGAATGCAGTCTACGGCTGGAAAGTTGGAATTTATAGTTGAAGTATGAATCGTGAGGATTTAGATGATACATATGATCTTCTGTCTCCAGTACGGTACGTAGGGGAGAAGGTGCGTACTCCGACTCATTTGAAAGTTCTGACAACGAATCTAGTCCACAATTTCGATCGTCAGTAAGTTTTAAATCACCTTCCAACTCATTCAAGTCATCATCATTCACAGCATCTTCGAAGTGAGTTATATTTCTCGATTATGTTCTGTAGATTCACATTTTTTATAATGGGTACATACTGACAAATCTGCAAATCCCAATCCATAGCGGTACCGGTATTCACCCGTACGGTACCGTACCATATTCCTGTTATTAGAATGATTCAGTTCTAGCAGGCAAATACGGTAGTATATCATTGCTGTATGTTTTTCCATTTATGGTAGCAGTACCGGTATTTTATAATTGATGGATTGTATAAAATACAGAAATAAGCCAGATTACAGACTTTTTGGTCTTCTGGCGTTATCGGTACGGTATGATTTGGATTTCAAATGTCAGCAATCACTTTACGTTTTTACTGTCATGATTTAATTCAAGTGTTACACAGTTATTTAATACACATTGAAACAGCTAGGTTTTCAGTCTGCCAGTGGTGTTTAGTAACATCTTTACAGTTCAACCCAATGCCTGAATGCTGCAATGTCTGTCAACCTAATGCTGTAATGTCATGGATAATGCATCTTACTATAGATTTCCTAAAAATTGTGTGACTATATTTATATATATGGTGCTGTAGTGATAGTCACTTGCTACTAAAAACACATTACCATGAGATATCTAGAGATGATGTAAAAGATATTTGCGGTTATCTCTTAGGACAGTACGGCACACTTTACAGATCAAGAAACATTGTCTCGTTTCAGAAAATCCTATTTTGTCAATGAACAAACAAACACCTCTCGTTTCGGGGACATCTGGACATAGTTCAATAACAGTAAAATGAGGTTGGGCAAAAACTTACAAAGAAGCGCAATCTCAGAATCTAAAAACGTCATCATTGAATTCCTCCTCACATGACGGTCACGATTAATTTAGATTATTATCGAGACAAGCTTGGCGCGTGCCGTCATGGCATATACCCTCTGTTTGTGAGACACATGGAGTGTTGGTTTTATTGAACCGAATGACATGACATTCTTGGAAATTGAAAAGTGTGCCTTACTGTTGGACATGACATGCATTTTACCTCATTGCTCATTATCAAATTTACTTCAAATGGAATTCTGAAACTTATACCTTTATGCATGGTGCGCCAGTATTACCGGTATTATATTTAATTTGTTTCTTATGACAACAACTTCGTTCTGTAGGATTCCACCACCTAAGTATGCATCAACTACGAGATATCAACAAGACAAACCCAAAAATCTTGTCCCGTCATCAGCGCCAGGCCCCTCATCTTCTCCACCGAAAAGGGAACGAAGAATTCGACGAACTTCGCCATTGAAGGGTAGGATGGTTTTGTTATTTGCCTGAGAAACTTGTAGGGATGGGCAATGTAGAATAATTTACTATTCTAGAATAGTTAAATCGAATCCAGAATACCGAATCCTATTCTATTTTCATACTTATTCAAAAAGTGGGAATTTCCACAATGCTGGATTTAGATGTTAAAAAGTTTTAAATGTATAACTATAAATGTATTATTAATTTGGAAATGTCCTGAACACTGGATTAAACGGGCATTTCTCAGGGCAATAAAATTCAAGAATATTACAATATTTTTTGCCTTCAATAGTTCCAAATGTATGTAATCCCTAAACACCGATATGCTAAATTAAGACACGCTTCACACACTTTAATAATAGTAAGCGGTTATATACAAAAATAGATATGAAACGGCATTAATCATTATTAATCTGCCTAGTGAACTAAAACATACCCGCTGAGAATTAATTAGATGCAGGACCAGCGTGTGGCCACTGCAACCTATGCGGCCGTTGTAAAATATTGAATTTAACCACTATCAATTAAAATCAACTTTTTATTCTGTGCGAGCAAGTAAAACCAAGTTCCCGTAAACGCGATTTAGTACTTAGTTATTAGGTAATAACATCTAAAGACTAATTCCTTTTCTATGATTATCATTACATACTTTATCTACCCAGACTTGGCCGTGCATAAACTCAATACGTCACTATCTTCGCCAGATGCGGCAACTTTTTTTTAATTTATCATCGACTAAAATACTACAGACACTTGATCAAACGTGCGTCTATCTTGAACGATAGGGAAGGACCGAAAAATATGTAATCTTTTGAGAGTGAAATTCAAATGTGACAGATTTTCACGTGTTGCGATAACTTTGTATTTCGGAAAACGGTGTACTTAGTTATTAGGTAATAACATCTAAAGACTAATTCATTTTCTATGATTATCGTTACATATCATTATCTACACAGACTTGGCCCTAAGTAAACTCAATACGTCACTATCTTCGCCAGATGCGGCAGCTTTTTTTTTAAATTTACCAGCGACAAAATTACTGCAGACACTCGATCAAACGTGCATCTATCTTGAACGATAGAAACGGACCGAAACAGATGTAATGTTTTGAGAGTGGAGTTTGAATGTGACAGATTTTCGCGTATTGCGATATAGCTTTGTATTTCGGAAAGTGGTGTAATAAATTATTCGAAAATAATATTTGATCTAAATTAATCGCAAGCAATGTTCTAACATTCAACGCCTGGCTTTTGGTTTACATGCATCTTTTTTTGGTAAAACTCGCAGGTCTCGAGATATCTTAATGTAAAATGAAGCAAGGCACGTCTGTAAACAATTGAAGATTGTTGCAATCAGATTATCGGAATATCGCTAGTAAGTCGGCATAAATAATTATTATTATTATACGTTAGCTATATAGCAAATCAGTAGAACGCAAAAACGGTGCAATAACGAGTCTTCGCCGTGAGGTGTACTTCGCCGACTTCTTGTTCTGAATATGTAGATTGAGATTACAGTGTTTGATGTTTACCGATTTTACGAGCAGACGCAAGTTATGTTAAACGAGAGAGATTTCCACGAGATAAAAAACGCTGGTGAGATTTCGACGCGAGAAAAAACGCTCGTCTTTAATTGATAAATTAGAAACTCGAAATACAAAAATTGACTCTTGGCGCCGGAGAGGCGGAAACCGAATCCTGTTATCGGGTCCCGTTGGATTCGAATACTTTGGGATTCGAATCCTGCGAATTCGGTATTCTATATTGCCCATCCCTAGAAACTTGCCAACGATATATGCGTTCTGCTATTTATACAATTCCACATACTAATACTATAATTTAGTTATCATTTGTTATTGCTCAGCTAACTAATTGATAATAAGGGTTTGTTAAAGCATGCTTATTACTTATTATATACAGTTACATTGAATTTCTTTATATCTGGTCCTTGGTCAAAATTGGGATTTGCCATTCAATCGTATAAAAAATTAATTCAAATATTCCATATAAATTGCCACAAATGGCAGAGAACAATGGCACAATTAATGCGCTATGTGAGTATAAACGGGAAAACATACCCGTCTCGTTTTGTATTAAGTTGGCAGTATTAGACATGGGCGATCTCTAAATATAAGGATTGGTAACACTATGGGCGTTGCTAAGGGAATTCATACAGTATGAAGCGTTAGCCAACTCAAATCTTAACTGTTTCAATAAATTAAAGCCGCTTGCGTACCACATGAAAAGCTCCAGCGTACCACAAGCTGGGAACTACTGCAGTAGAGTTTTGAAAATTGGGTCCTTGTTTGCTAATGCACTTCTTTTTCATGCCACAGGCTGATATAGAAATCCATTTCATACTACTCAATTTCTCAACTGATTATCATTTAGATCGTAATTCTCATGACAACACTATTGAATTAATGAAAATGCCACAAGATGGTGATAAAAAAGATTTTGAGTGTTTGGGAAGATTGGTTGATCAAAAAGTTACAACAGGAGAGAGAAGACATAAAAATACAGGTATGTATGCAATTCAAGCCATGGTTTTTCAGTTAACGTTGTTTCTTGTTTGAGGGAGTTTGTTATACTTTTGATATTCTAATGAATGCTGGTTGTGACAGTGTAATTGACCAGACGTCAGTCACCTTTGTAAAACTACGAAAGTTTGTTGTTTTGACGAAATGATCTAGAACACCTACTGATAGACTTATTTTGAGTCTGGATAAATATCTCATTTCAAAATTTTCTGGTGAAATATGATTTAGTTTTTTGCGACCTACATATTGTTTCCACAAAACTGATCATCCACTAATTTACATAACAATTCAACTGAAATAGGCCACGTCGATACCAGTGTAAATCCTGTGTCCACCTAGAATCCAAAATACTGTTACTTTATTGCAAGAAAGTACGATAAATTGTCGTGGCCTTCGGACGAGGGCCAGGGGCACTTTAAAAGGTTGGAAAACACTGCACTAAGCAATCGCAGCATCCAAGAATAACTTGAGAGTTTGGACCGGCTTGACATATAATTTAAGGTGTAGATCCTTGTATCCAACGCTGGTTTGGCTTTAACGATGCAGTTATTTGTGTTTATAGAGACAAGTTGAAAAAAGAAGAAAAAAGAAAAGAGAGGAAAGAAAAGAATGGAAAAGGAAGATTTAAAGAAAAGAGCTGAATTAAAACATCGGTAGTGGTGTGAAGAAAAGTTATTGAAGGTGAAATATAAACGTTGAAACTTCGGAGTTAGTGACTTAGTGTTGGATTCAAACATGCTATGTTTTTCTGAATTCTGCAAATATGCTGTTTTATGCATTGGACGCTAAAAATGAGAGTACCTCCGTAGTGTGTGTACCAGATTAGGGTTCGGCCATAATTTTATTCCGATTTTCCTCATTTTAGTTCTATGACGACTGTCTGTGTTAGCCAAGTGAATATACCTCCTAGGTTTCAGTCCCTTTACACAATTTGATATAATGTAGTCGAACAAAATTAGTTACTTCCATATCGGTACATACACTTCTAGAGCGCCCTTTTTTCACCTATGTAGTAAAGCAAGTAAATTAAACGAAGAAATATTTAAATTAACAAACTTAACTATTTTCAGATGAAGTTGCAGACGAAAATGAGAAGCGTGAACAAATGTTGAAGGAAGAAATGAAAGTTCAAGAAAAACAAGAAATTGAGAGAAAATCAAAACAAGCATAAGGGAGATGGGTGGAAAAGAGAAATGAAATTGAAAAATAGCAAAAAGAGAAGGTAAGTCTTCGACTAACAGTGTCTACAACTGACATCGGCAAAGTACGGCCGGTATGGTAATTCAGTCTGACCCACCTGATGCTGCCATTCGGGTGTCGCAGCTCGATAACCGGTAATGGTTCCCTGCGGCTTTCCTTCCCAGTAATGTAAATATCAGTTTTCTTTATATTTTTGAATGTTTTTTTTGTTTTTTACTGGTTGGAAAAAATAAACTGGACTTGACCAAAGTTTGATGTTTAGGCTAAAAAAATAGCCCGAGGAATATGTTGAGATTGCGACTTAATTTAGTTTTGCCACGAGGCTTATCGTTTTACACTTTTGCTTACGTACAAATTTAATTTTGCACATGAAATGTAACTCTTATGTCACACTTACATGGCCCGCCAGTCTAGATGGGCAAAACTTTAGTCCAAAAACCTTTCTCGCCCCTGGTCTACACTTTCCTGAGTGGGCCAGTTACACATAATAAACTTAAAACTTAATATGAAAAACAAGTTTATGTACAAATACCTAGCATAACAGATAATGCACAACAATAGCACATTAGCTTTAGGCGCAGATAATACATTGGCAATTATGGTTTAATTTTAGCCAATGATTCGTTATTTTTATCAAAATTTCAACGCAAATTTATATCGATAAAAACTATATTCATAATTTGTACTGGCACGAGTGGGCCAGATCTCTGGTGTACACAATGCTGTCTTCAACTTAAGTATTTTATTTACTCTTACATAGTGGTTGGATTCAAACCGAAGCTGTTCTTGGAATATCATGACAATCAGAAAACATGTTTTTGATCGATATTTGAAGCCCCTTAATTCATAAAGTCTCGCTATGTTTCGCCAAGACAATTTAATATGATACCCGTTGACTGTTGCTACATATATTATTAAGAATTTTTGTTAAAATTTTCCAGCACATTGCGGATTATATTCGAATTTCAACTTAAACTGTCGACTTCACATATACAATGGCAGCAATATTTTTCTGATGACCTTGGTTCCCCTGTTATTTTGAATTTTTTATTCTGTTGCCCCATAATACAGACCTGTTCTCACGACCACAGCAAATGGGTTATGTGCGCCGCAGCATATTTGGTGTTTCGAGTGTTATGTATTAGATTTATGTGTGCCATATGCCATGCAGCTTACACATTGACATACCATAAAGTTCCTTTACAATTTCAATTTTGTTATAGTCAGTTCTCAATATATCTTAACCAGGTTTGTTGTTTTTCAATCAGTAATTGTTCAAGTATTTTTACCTCATTTAAAGCATCTGTGAGGGGTAAAACAATATATGGTATTGATAAATTTCCTTGGTAATTTTAAATTTTTTTAAGACTTCATGGACACCCTATATATACACTTTGTGAAATGGGGGAAATTATAGTAGCGAGTTCAATACAAAATAGAACCTGCTCTTAAAATCAAATTTTTGTGTATTTGTATCTGTACAGCCAAAAATGGACATTAGGCTCTACCTAGAATCAAAACTAAAACTGATTAAGCTTTGAAACCGAGATCAAATAATGCTCCCTGGTCCATAATGACACAATATCAAAAACAGTCCATTTCTGAAAAATGTGACATTGCTACTTTGGTTTTAACTGTGGTAGCTTATAGCCTGCTCCTGTCTTAAAATTGCAATCTGCCAAGACGTATGAATAAATGGATTTTGAAAAAATGATTTCAGGATGGCTTTCGAGGAGATACTGAAGTTTGACAATATATATTCTGACTCCAGGTGTTTCTTAAAAATCATCAATCATATTGTTTTACTGTCCCATATACTGCAAAAATGATTTGCAATTACTTAAACTTGTAATCAATGTTTTTTCAAATTTTTAAGATAAAAAAGCAAGTGTTAAAATTTCAAAAATGTTTATTAAAATTTGTTACAAAGAAATAATAATGTGACCAACTTGCTTTTGCTTTGAAAATCAACCTCTTTGCTTTGCGGGTAACATTGAAAGGATTTGTAGATGTTATTTTTTTTTAAAGGAAAGGAGAAAAAAACTTGAAGAGAAACAGAAAGAGGATGAAAGAAGAAGGAAAAATGAAGAATGCTTTCAGAAATGGCTGAAAAAAGTCAATGAAAAACAATGTGCTTCTCCAAGACAAGGTTTTAAATGTTTGAACTTTTTTTTACTTCAATTATTGATGGTGGTTGGTAGTAAGATTGCTTGAAATGTAAAAGTCGTAACAGACTAACAAAGTCCATAGAATATTTCTCATGCTCCCAATTTATTTGAAAAATGACTCCACGACAAATGTATCTTTCCATTACTTCAAAGTGAAAACTTTGACCTAACAAACCAACAAATTTTTAGCTAAGACTCTGGAAAAGTCCGACTGATTATGTGGATTTGAAAGTCTGACTTTTAGCAGTAAATTTCAATTCTGCAGTCAAGGCTGCAAGGTCTGTGAAGTTAGCTCGTTGTATTTCTTATTTCAAACTTTTCCGAGTCAGAATCAAAGGTTCAAGTCACTTTATAGCAGTGCTTTTTTATAAAACCTTTGACCAGTCGTGACATGCTGGGGTAATATGATAACAACCAGGGACGTAGACGGGAATTTTCAAAATGGAAAAGTCAGTAACAGGCTCACAAAGTCGAAAGAATATTTCTCTAATTGACAAAATATTTTACTCTGTAGTATGGACCGATACATTTGTTGTGAAGTCAGTTATCTAATAATTTGAGAGTATGATTCGGGTAGTGTCCCACTGATTCTGGGATTTGCAAGTAAAATAGTAGCAGTACACTCCAGTACTGGGCTGTTTGTATTTCGTTATTTCCAACTTTCTGAGTCAAAATCGAAGCCAGGAAATTTCAAAAAGGGTTTCTGGAATTTGCCAAGTTGGACCATAAAAGCTAGCGGGTGCGAACAGAGGCAGGAAATTGTGGTTTTTTAAGTGTGTTGAGGATCTAAAAAGTGTTTCAAGCTCTGAAACAATGCTGTGTGATACAGAAAAATGTTTCTTTTTTTTACATTTCAAAAAAAGGGAGGGGGATCTGACCCTCGAAACATTCCCTCTAAGCTACACCCCTGATAACGGCAGATTGAATTAGAAGCACATTGGGATGTGATGCAAAACCGAACTGAATGTATGTTCAACCTATTTTTTAACCGTTCAGGTCAGCGATTTCCACGGATATGCTGGGATTTTACCAGTACAGACGATGGGTTCCACAAGTTTCCATTCCAATTCGATAGTCTGTATTAGTTCGACAATCCTACCGTCTTGTTTGAGAGTCATATGTTATTTAAATATGAACACATACGCTGGTACAATATATCCATATAAAATTTGTGTTTTGCTTGTGTTCCATTAAAGACCTACAGGTGTGAGATTGCCATTTCACATTTTTTAGATTGACATATTTTACATCAGGGGTGTGCAACATGCGGGCCAAATGTGACCTGAAAGGAAAAATCTTGTGGCCCGCGGCTGGTCTTTCATGGTGTGAGGCTCTCGAAACAGATTTTTAATTTAGTTTAAAATCTGGTACATGCAAGTAATTTTAATTCTTTGCGTTGCAAAGGCTTTACCTGAGCTGTAATCAATTTCATAGGGTTCCTAAGCCTCTGGTATTCTGCTACACCAAAAAGATTGAAAAATCTATGTTATGGCCCATGGTAAGGAACACAACCTCGTAAATATATGTATATTTATTACAGGTACAGTGAGTGAGTATCCCGCACCATCTTATCGTAATCCAGCACCGTGGATTGGCCCACTAGCAGACAAAGACACCAAGGAATCAGTACATCGCCAGCACAAAATGATGATAGCAGAAAAACATGCAACAATTCGACAAAGACCAAAAACTGCGAACCAAAAAAGAAAAGGGCTCGTAAAAACTGGCCCAGAAAAGGGCAAAGGAGTGTTGATTTGTAGACCTGCTACTGCAGCACCCTTGTTTTATAACGTGCCAATTAGGAACCCCCAAAACTTTGTGCCTGAACCTAAGAGAGGCAGTTTTAGGGGAAGATCGTAACATCTTGATTCTTAGTGTGTGAGATTAGTTGATATATTATGATGAAATAATAATTTATAGACTTTTAGAATGTAATTTAAACCAAAGTGATCGACATAGCAGCGCTGTGGCCGCCAGTCTGGATGGGCAAAATTTTTGGCTGTGGTTCAAATACCAACCTCTGGTCTAAATCAAGGTATCAGCAGCATCCGATACATTCTCTCTTCTATATCAGTGTATTATCTATATTTCAAAAGCCCGGCTGCAATTTCCGAAAGAAAACCCTTTGATATTGAAGATGGAGAATCTAAGACGAATTTATTTTAGGCAAAATCATTTTGAATCTGATGTTATATCTATAAAACGGGGCTCTCAAAATAAATTTACCCAGGGCCACTGGAGGCAGAGTCTGGTTGGATCCGGGCCGCTTCAGGTTGTCCACAATGAAAGCTTACCGTAGTTTAAAAAATTAAAATCTTTTCAAATTTCTTTAACACAAAACAAGTTGAAAACATAAATGACCAAATTGTGACGAGAGAGACTAAATTGAAAAATAACTGAAAATAATAATACTGTAATTAGTGATTTCAACGTTAACAAAACTTATAATAAATGTATTCATCGCCAATCATGCGACTTGATCTAAATGACACACTAACATTAAGCTTTCATACTGAGGCGGGGACCACAAACTATCGTCCCGCGGGACGCAAATGGCCCCCGGGCCGCGAGTTTGAGACCCCTGTTATAAGATGAATTAAGAGCAGAAGAACCGGACAATTGATGTTATGACAGGGTTCATGTGCCGTACCGATACTATCCTGCATTGAGATGTGCGTTAAATCTAGTTTAGTCATACATTGTTGGAGCGTGTACTTGAAACAATAATTCTCGAAATAATTCCCAAGTTCGTCATTACATGCATATCTCTGCAACTTTGAACGAATTTATATTTTAAAATCCAGGCGGCCTTTTTTAGTTACCACATGAAACCTGTTTTGACTGACCGAAAGATGAAGAATTTCAGGTTTAATATGACGAATCTGGTACTGTTGTAAGATGGTTATTCCATACACACGAACAAGTATGTTGAACGAATTAATTGAATCTACCGGTAGTTGTAATGTAAACTGATCACGCTGTGAGTTTTATTCTTTGACAGATAATCCTCGGTTTTGAAACCTAGGAGTGGATGGCGCAATGACAACAAAGTGTCGAATTTAATGTTACTTCAGATCGTGTTTGACATTAAACTTTTTGGGCGGCTTTTTCGGCAATCTGATTTTTTTATTAATTCTGCACGGAAAATCATTCAAAGTATCTTACTTGGTTAGACCAAGAAATTTAAATGATGGTCAATTCGTAAAATCGAAAATGGTACGCCGATTTCACAGAAATGGATAACATTCGCTTTGTTTGGCTTCATAAAGAAATGTCGGTCGAGCAAATTTACGCAGTCACGTCAGGATTTATCAATAGCGATTGCCTAGTATCCATTACCAAAGCAGATTGTCTGTCCGTCTGTTGTAGGCCCTACGACCAATTTGACGGTATATATGCTCAGTTCTGAAGTTTTCCGAACCCTCATTATATAAAGGATTGTAAACCCGTTTATAAGCTTTAGGTTTATTTTGACAACATCCACAAAACAATGAACGATTGGAAAAACCGCAAAACTTCTAAAAAGATTTAAAAAACGTGGAAATGCATGTGCCAGTTTACCCATATTACACAAAAACACGGGTATGGGAAAATTCGTCGCATTTGGAAAATCCCCCTAATCCCCTGGTCTACTCCAATCCTTGTTTTTGCATCGAAATTTCATGTGGCGAGATTTCCTACGGCGAATTTTCCAGAGACGCAAAAAAACTAAACACACGAATGTACAACGTTTAAAACGTAAAAATTATTTCCGTTTTCCGAATTTTCCAGAGACGCAAAAAAACTAAACACACGAATGTTCAACGTTTAAAGCGTAAAAATTATTATTCTGTGATCGCCAAGTTAGATTAAAAGACTTGTACTGACCCCAAGAAGGCGAGCTTCAAAACTTATAGATTTTTGTTTTAGATTTAGTTTTCAGTGACAAACATTTATTTCTTGAAATTGTAGGCTACGGTTACATTCGCGTGTTTGAGCGACAGCTAGATCTAGGCGTTTTTTTGTGTGGTACCGCTACAGTGCACTTACGTATGAAAATAAGTCTTTATTTTATTTATTATGCCGACTCATCTCTGCTCGTAAATCAACCTTCCTGACATGTTTTTAACGACACGGGATTTCGACTTTCTTTGTGCTACGAAATAAATATTAGAACTCGCGCTGTGCATTACGTTTATTTAGGTTTCGGAACGATATATATATTGAACACTAAATATATATAATAAATAATGACAATATAAATTTAGTTTTAGTAGTCTCACGGCAGATAAAAATGAGATAGATCTAAAAGCTATTTCAGATACGGTAAATCGCAAACATTTCGCATGTCCAGAGCCCGCTTCATGCTCAGTTACCGACGAAAACGGTACGCACTCACTGGAGATGAAAAATACTGTTGATTTTGCGCCTATACGAGCGCTGTTAAAATGAATTTAATAGGCATTATGATGAAATAAAATCCAACCATCCTAATATAACTTCAATTCTACCTGAATAAAATTGTATTCTTTGGGGTTGTTGGGGTAAAAGCGGTATAAATTGAGGTATTAGTCGAGTGCTTACAATTCTGATGAAATGACATTTTATTACCGGTCGTAGATTGTAATTTTTTTTTAACAAGTGCTATGATTGTAGTGTCGGCTTTAAAGTCCAATGCAAATGAATTTCAGATCTATAGTATGGGAATTTCGACAAAAAATTGGAAGAAACTAGCCCGGCATGCTCACTAATGAAAGTGTTATTCACCCGGGTACAAAAAACCAAATGGTATACGAGGGTTTATAAATATTGTCCAGGTCGAATATATACACTACACTACAGCCAGTTTTGTGTTTTGAAACAGATGCAGTTCACTTTCGACATTGGAATTCATTAATTCGCAAGTAAAGGGTTTGTTTTTTTCAAGAAATTTGCGAGGTGATTAATATGAGCGATTAGAAACCCATACCACGCAAAAAAATGATTAGTAGCGGAGAGATAAACAGAAAATGCTAGGGCAAAGTTATTCGCAAATTTCTGAACACAACTATAGTCATATAATCGACGTCAATTTTTACGTTTTAATAATTCAGCACAAATAATATCTTGTGACCAAAGTCAGACATCGGTAGATCAGTATGCGTATAACGCAAGGATGCCGGAGCAGCAAGAATAAAGGTGACTATTCTATTTAATTCAAGAGTCTACAAAACGTAAAAAAGGTATAACACGTAGTAAAATGGTTGAAGAACACTGTACTAGTGCAACTTTGACGCAATTTATGGTAAAATGTTATGTACAGTTGACCGTTTTTGTATTAGAAATTTAATTTTGCTATCAGAAAAGCGCTATATTCATGCCGTTCAGTGTTTGAGCATATTCTTATGTCCCTAGATTTCATAAAATTTATAGTTGAAAAAAAGTTGGGGCGCTTGAAAAAAAAGGATATCCCCTTAAGAAAAGAATAAATTCATGCTCTGACATTATTTTCATGTAAGTGCACTGTAGCGGTACCGCAACAAAAAAAGCCTGGAACCTGCTGACCTTAATAAGTACGCGCATATAAGAAGTAAAATTACAAGAAATAGATGTTTGCCATCGAAACCTTCATACAGGCTTTAGAATAAGTTCGCGCCAAAAATATAAAAGTCTTGAAGCTTTCCTTAGGGCCACAAATGTTTTAATGGGACTCGGCGATCACGGAATAATAATATTTTACGTATTAAACGATTTATATTCGTGTTTTTAGTTTTATTGCGTGTCCGGAAAATTTGTCTCAGGATATCTCGCTGCAAAAACAAGTATTTGTGTTAAAAACAGTTAGGTTTATAAGGTTAGGACGATTTTTCATGCGGCTATTTTTCCAAATGCGGCGAAATTTCCTGTGGCGAATTTTTCTACAACCTTATTTTGTGTGATATGGATACACTGACACATGTATTTTCACGTGTTTTAAACCTTTTTAGATGTTTTGCAGTATTCTCGATCTTCATCTATATTTTGTGGATGTTCTTCATGCATGTTGTGTACCGGAGAAGTCACAATAAACTTATAAACGTGTTAAAATCATTCATATACTGAGACTTCAGAACTAAGCATACCATCAAAATAACCGTACAACAGACGTGCAGAAAATCTGCTCTGGTAATGGATAATACTATACAATCGCTATTGATGAATTCTGGCGTGGTGTGTAATTTTGTTCGAACGACACTTTTCTTTATGAAGTGAAACAAAGCGAATGTTACAAAGCATCAAATTATTTCTATCTAAGGTGAAATCGGCATACCATTTTTAGTTTTCGAATTGCTCATGCATTAAATTTTTTGGCCTAATCAAATAATATGTTTTGAAAGATTTCCGAGCAGATTAGAACAAAAAAATCAGATCGCCGAGAAAGCCGCGCAAAAAATTTCAAAGTGAATTGTCAAATCACTATCTGGAGGAACAGAAAAGAAAACCAGACACTTGGTTGTCATTACGTAATTGAACTCTAGATTTTTAAAACCAAGGATTATATTTTATTGGAGGCCAATCGTTATCAGTTTACATTACAACTAACGGTAACCTCGATTAATTCGGTCAACTTATTCTTCTCGTGATTAGAATAACCATATTTCAACAGTACCAGGTTCGTCATATCAAACTTGAAATTTGTCATCTTTCTGTCAGTCAGAGCTGATTTCATTTGGCATTACCGGCCGTGGATTGTATATTTTCCGCCCAAGCTAAATCAATATCAGTTGAAAGCCAGTTCTTTTAACAAGTGCTATGATTGTGGTGTCGGTTTTAGAGTCCAATGCAAAAGAATTTCAGAGCTGTGGTATTGGAATGGTGACGAAAAATTGGAAGAAACTACGACAGCTTGCTCACTAATGCAGTGTTATTCACCCCGGTACACAGATACGAGGGATTACAGATATGGTCTAGCTAGGACCTAGGTTTAATATACTCTGTCTACAGTCTACACTACAGCCGGGTTTGAAACAGATGCAGCTCACGTTCGACATTGCAATTCATTAATTCGCAATTACAGTGTTTGTTTTCCCACACATTATACGAGGTAAATAATATGAGCAAGTAGACACCCATACCATGCCAAAAAAATAAATAGTAACGGAGAGATATACGATAATGCTAAGGCAAAGTTATACACAAATTTCTGAACACAAGCTAAATCATAAAATCAACGTAAATTTCTACGTTTTCGTTAATTCGTACGCCATAGTATTTTGTGACCAAAGTAAGACATCGGTAATTAGCTTTTTCATGGATTGGCTGTACTGCGAGAGCGCGTTATTACCGCTATCATGGGTAGACAAGACATCGAATATAGATAAAGGATAAATCCGTAAACCAAAATTCCAACTGCCGATGGTTAAGTTCGTCAATTTAACTCTTTCTCGTGTATTATGCCGACTTATCTCTGCTCGTAAATCAACCTTCCTAACGCAAAGTGAAAAATCAGGTTTTTAACGACACGAGATTTGGATTTTCTTGATGGCTACAGAACAAATATATATTGAAACTCGCGCATTACGTTCATTTAGAACGATATAACAAACACTAAACATAAGCAATAACAACATCATAAATTTAGTTTTAGTATTCTCGCGGCAGAAAAAAATGCGATATAAACGCTATTTTACATACCGTAAATCGCGAACATTCGATTGCCCACAGCTCACATTATGCTCAGTTACCGACGAAAACGATACCGTACGAACTGAAGATGAAAAATACTGTTGATTTTGCGCTTATACGAGACCTGTTGAAATTACGGGCAGGATTTTATTACGCATCATGATTCAACTATTCTTATATAACTTCACATCTACCTGAATAAAGTTGTATTTCTTCGGATTGTTGAGGTAAAAGCGGTATGAAATTAAAGTATAGTCGCGTGCTTACAATTCTGATGACATAGCATTTTATTACCGGTCGTGGATTGTAAATTTTCCGCCACAGAAAAATCAATATCAGCTGGAAGCCAGCTCTTTCATTAACAAGTGTTGTGATTCTGGTGTCGGTTTTAGAGTCCAATGCAAAAGAATTTCAGAGCTGTGGTATTGGAATGGCGACGAAAAATTGGAAGAAACTACGACAGATTGCTCACTAATGCAGTGTTATTCACCCGGGTACACAGATACGAGGGATTACAGCTACGGTCTAGCTAGGACCTAGGTTTAATATATATACTCTGTCTACAGTCTACACTACAGCCGGGTTTGAAACAGATGCAGCTCACGTTCGACATTGCAATTCATTAATTCGCAATTACAATGTTTGTTTTCCCACACATTATACGAGGTAAATAATATGAGCAAGTAGAAACCCATACCACGCCAAGAAAATAATTAGTAACGGAGAGATATACGATAATGCTAAGGCAAAGTTATACACAAATTTCTGAACACAAGCTAAATCATAAAATCAACGTAAATTTCTACGTTTTCGTTAATTCCGTACGCATAGTATTTTGTGACCAAAGTAAGACATCGGTAATTAAGCTTATTTCATGGATTGGCTGTACTGGAGAGCGCGTTATTACCGCTATCATGGGCAGACAAGACATCGAATATAGATAAAGGATAAAACCGTAAACCAAAATTCCAACTGCCGATGGTTAAGTTCGTCAATTTAACTCTTTCTCGTGTATTATGCCGACTTATCTCTGCTCGTAAATCAACCTTCCTAACGCAAAGTGGAAAATCATGTTTTCAACGACACGAGATTTTTCTTGATGGCTACAGAACAAATATATATTGAAACTCGCGCATTACGTCATTTAGAACGATATAACAAACACTAAACATAAGCAATAACAACATCATAAATTTAGTTTTAGTATTCCCGCGGCAGAAAAAAATGCGATATAAACGCTATTTTAAATCGGGAACATTTCGATTGCCCACAGCTCACATTATGCTCAGTTACCGACGAAAACGATACCGTACGGACTGAAGATGAAAAATACTGTTGATTTCGCGCTTATACGAGACCTGTTAAAATTACGGGCAGGATTTTATTACGCATCATGATTCAACTATTCTAATATAACTTCACATCTACCTGAATAAAGTTGTATTTCTTCGGATTGTTGGGGTAAAAGCGGTATGAAACTAAAGTATAGTCGCGTGATTACAATTCTGATGACATAGCATTTTATTACCGGTCGTGGATTGTAAATTTACCGACACAGAAAAATACTCGCGACCCCAAAACCAGAAATGTTCAGCAACTTCAAAAATCAGTATATTCAATCTAATTATTTTTATGGAAACAATGTGTCTGTATATCCGCTTCAAATGGACGTGGGCGGTGAACAAAATATATGAACGAGTCCGGCAATGCGCGGGAAAAACGTGGAATCCTCAGAAGATTTGATAATACATGAAATCGCATAAAAACCACGCTGTTGAAATCTCTGAGATAGAATTACGACGATTCTTTGGCGAAACATGGACAAACTTGATAAAACGTGGAAGATTGTATGGAAGCGTGCAATACTTCGGAAATATTAAGATTGCTTCTAAATATATATAGGTTTAAAAACTTATTTATTATATTCCAACAGTGTCTTTTTTATTTTCAGTTCAATGTTAAAATGTTACAGATTGCTCTATTAATAATTCAGAAGTAAAACAGAACATGAAAGTAAATAAGAAAAAAAAACGTGTACGGATCACATCTTTTTAGGTGCCTTTATTTATTGTTGTTTGTGCTTGACTGTTTGGATAGTTTCGGAATGTATGAAACGTTCAAATACGATAATATTGCAAAGAAAATGTTCACTTTATGCGGAGGCGATGTGGACAAAAAACACGTAGCCCACTCGTAGATTTTAGACACGTGTTGCGAATAACAGAGCGCTTTCGCAACTGATCGAAACCCAAAGTGATTGATTACTCGGCCAAGACATCACCTGGCAAACTATACCATACTTGTCAGAACACCCAAGTAAGTGCCAATTCTCAAATAAAGCAACTTTTCTTAGTATAACCAAGCGCCTACACTTGTACAAAATACCAAACCGACATAATTCTGAAATAATTAAGGAAAAATAAATAATGTGCGTTCATCAGCTAACAGAAGTAGGAGGAGCGCTCATCGAGCATCATGGCCACAAAGTGCATTATTAATATAAAAGATTTAGCAGCTGTGGAAATCATTTGTTAACTGGAAATATTGTTGATAAATTACTTAGTGTTGCCAACTGAATCCCGTCTTTGAAATGTGAGATTGCTTCAAATAGTGTGCAGAGATAAATAAATGCCACATGAAGATACTTGCGTAAGTCGATTATACAAAAGTTACTGTTGGGAAAGGTTTGTAGACCTATATGACACAATAGTGGAATTTGTTAGGGAGCGTGTGGTGTTTAAATTATTTTAATCAAGCAAATTAAAATTTAAGGCCTGCCAAAATCCAAAATTTCCGGTTTTAGTTGAAAAAACAAAATAATCTACTGCCTGGTGTGCAGGACAAATCTTGCCCGCCACATCTGGCCAAAGGTGAACTAACGGGGTAAAACTAGTTGTTGTGATTGATTTTCAGATTCTTAAACTTATGAAACATCACTAATTGCCTTGCCCTTTCTCTTTTATCATGCGAAGGTAGGTTTGGCTGTCGGGCTGACAAGGTACAACACTAGCGAATAATGACACATGAAACCGGACATTCAAACTTAAGTTATACGTTTGGATCTACTAGTCTGTGGCTTAGAACGCAAATCAATTCCAAGGTTTTATTGCAAACAGGTCTGCTATTTTATGCGTAGCATTTTTCTGGGTTTGTCTTCAAAAATAAATTTTCAAATTCTATAACGATTTATGCTGATTTTTGTCGAGAAATAACTGATTTGGTTTGAAAGCGTAAGGAATGAAATATGGGAAATACTTTTGAACGAAGGGCTTAGAACTTTTTACTACGAGAAAAATTCGTCTTTGAAAATAGAAATCATGTTAAAATATTGTTGAGACCACTGAGTTAAATCGGTAAACCATTTAAAGTTAACTGTTTGAATGAATTTTGATTGTTAACAGTCATCGCGTGTGGCGTTTCAAATCAGACACCAATCATTGCTATGCTGTAGATGTAGTGTGGTTAATTCTTTCAACTTTTTTTAATTTAACTATTGAGCCCTTTACTGTTAGCATCACCATTCGATACGTATTTGTTTCTTGTTTAATAAACATTTACTTGCGTTTATTATTACTTTAGATCATCTAAGAGTGCTTTAAATTTAAGTTGAGTAAAGCCTTATATCAAGGTACTATATTTCTCATTCATCACAATTTATTCAACTTAAATTATTTCACAAGAGTATTCTGGTACAAGCAGGGACAAGGTTCTGAGACCAGAGAGACTAGAGGTAGATCCTAACTCTAGTGAAGCATCCTGTGAGTGGCTGCACTGGAAGAAGACTTTCGATAATTTTTTAAACGCCTTGCCGTCTGAAGGCCTTGATAAACTAGGTGTACTGGTGAATTTCATATCTCCTCGTATATTCCAATATATTGAGAAGGCAGAATCGTACGATACTGCGATTGAGATTCTGAAAACAATGTTTGTCAAACCTCTCAATGAAGTTTATTCTCGGCATGTTCTGGCAACCAGGAACCAACAAGCATCTGAAATGTAGACGAATACATACAAGCATTGAAATCGTTAAGCAAACATTGTAACTTCAAAGCTGTATCTGCTGTTCAAAACCGAGATGCTTATGTCCGAGACGCTTTTATCCGGGGGTTAAACTCCACATGGATACGACAGCGTTTGTTGGAAAACAAACACCTTGATCTTAATACGACATACGATCAAGCCAGGAGCTTAGAAGTAGCTATTAAGAATGCTGAAGTTTATCGAGTATCCGATTCTTCTACTGTGTCTGCGGCTGCTCAAAACAGTGAAACTCAAAACGATGAGACATCGTGTGATATCGAGAAAATATCTGCTACTGCAAATACCGCGTGCTTTTTCTGTGGCGGAACGAAACATCCTCGTTCAAAATGTCCAGCCCGAAATGTGTTTTGTTTCAAATGTCATAAAAAAGGACATTTCATAAAAGTCTGCAGAGGAACCGTTTTCAACCCACAAAAACCTGACGAAGTCACTGCATGTTCTAACTCGTATATATTAGGGATGGCTTTTGACAATACCCCAAAATCATTGAGAGGGTCGTCGTCTGTGATTCATATTGAAGGACACGAAGTACGTGCACTTTTTGATAGTTGCAGTAGTCAGAGTTTCATACACCCTCGTCTCATAGAACGGTGTAACCTCCCAATCAAAAGGGACACAGTTAGGGACAAGGTAGCAATGGCTTCTCTGGCGTGTTCCATGCCTATAAAAGGTTGCACAGCAGCTGATATTGAATATCAGGGCCGACACTATCCAAAATTCAATTTGAGAGTAATGAATGATCTATGTTGTGACATTTTACTTGGAATAGACTTTCAAGGACAACATCAAAGTGTAACTTATAATTACGGCGGCGATCGACCTCCAATGTCTGTATGTGGCTTTTCAACTTTCAAAAGTTTGCCACCAGAACCATTCAAAAATCTGACTGCTGACTGCCATCCTATTGCTACAAAGTCTCGTTGGTATTCCAAAGATGACAGAAAGTTTATTGAAATGGAGGTCAACCGTTTGTTACAGGAAGGAATTGTAACGCCTAGCAGATATCCGTGGAGAGCTCAAGGTGTCGTCGTAAAGGGTGAAAATGGGAAACGAAGGTTTGTAATCGATTATTCACAGACCATTAATAAATTTACTCAGACGCGTTTCTTTTACCTAATATGAGTGATCTAATCAACGAAATCGCTCATTATCGTGTGTATAGCACAGTGGATTTGAAAAGTGCATACCATCAAGTTCCACTTGAAAAGGAAGACCAGAAATATACTGCTTTCGAAGCTGCGGGTGCTCTGTTCCAGTTCACTCGTTTACCGTTTGGAGTCGCAAAGGGCGAAGTCACAAACACTTGCAGATAACTTGACTAAAAAAGGTTCATCATCGTCAAGTTTGCTGGACATTATACAATGCAATGAACTTAAAAACCATGTTAAGTTTATCTGCCCTCAAGGCAGATACACATATACAGGTCCTTATCCAGGCCTGTCATAAACTAGAATGAACCATCACGCCAAAGTAACACCCTCACACGCACACATGTAAACAAGTAATAATTACTCAATAACAACAAGTAATGGCACAATGATTACAAGTGTCTGGTAAAGTAATCCGACCAAAACATTCACAAATTCCCCATTATATCCGTGGAGAGCTCAAGGTGTCGTCGTAAAGGGTGAAAATGGGAAACGAAGGTTTGTAATCGATTATTCACAGACCATTAATAAATTTACTCAGACGCGTTTCTTTTACCTAATATGAGTGATCTAATCAACGAAATCGCTCATTATCGTGTGTATAGCACAGTGGATTTGAAAAGTGCATACCATCAAGTTCCACTTGAAAAGGAAGACCAGAAATATACTGCTTTCGAAGCTGCGGGTGCTCTGTTCCAGTTCACTCGTTTACCGTTTGGAGTCACAAAGGGCGAAGTCACAAACAGCGAACAACAGCTTGCAGATAACTTGACTAAAAAAGGTTCATCATCGTCAAGTTTCCTGGACATTATACAATGCAATGAACTTAAAAACTTTTAATTATTCATTTTATTAAATAATGGGGAATTTGTGAATGTTTTGGTCTGATTACTTTACCAGACACTTGTAATCATTGTGCCATTACTTGTTGTTATTGAGTAATTATTACTTGTTTACATGTGTGCGTGTGAGGGTGTTACTTTGGCGTGATGGTTCATTCTAGTTTATGACAGGCCTGGATAAGGACCTGTATATGTGTATCTGCCTTGAGGGCAGATAAACTTAACATGGTTTTTAAGTTCATTGCATTGTATAATGTCCAGCAAACTTGACGATGATGAACCTTTTTTAGTCAAGTTATCTGCAAGCGGTTGTTCGCTGTTACACCATCGGATTCTGGTAATCTTTTTGTTGGACATCATCTCTTTCAACATTGCTACTTCTATTCTCAGTCGTCTATCTTGTACTTGCTTGATAGACTTTATAGCATCGTGAAGAGAGCGATTATCAGTTACAATTTCGATGGGCAGTTTTTCAAGATTGATAGCTCCATGCATGATTTCTGTATACAATGAGCTAACAAAGCTTGCCATATCTACGCCAGCCGACATAGCAAGTGTTTCCGCAGCCAAAGAACTTTTAACAACTCTTTTTATCCGTTTGCTTTGCCAGCTGATGAGATTGCATCTTTGATGTTCTCCTACAAGAAATATGAGGCTTGCAGCTTGGCTACCACCATCAGTCAAATTACCAAAGGATGCATCGACGAAACAGACAAGTTTCAGATCCTTGTCAGAGCCCAAATTACAGAAGTTCAAATCCACTGAATTTGATTTTAGTTTACTAATCACTTTGTTAACTCTGAGGAGATCTTTCACAGTTGCAGATTTGAAATTTGTGGCCAATATACAAGTATCGAATGAGATATCAGGCCGTGATTGAGTACTGATCCACAACAGTTGACTTATTTTGGACTGAAGGGCTTCACTTTCAAGATGAGTTAGTCTTGCGTCAAGATCAGTCTTACGCTGGTGAGACAAATGAATAGGATTCAAAGATGAAATGTATTCATTTTGATTTAATGAGACTCTATCTTTATGTTCGTTGATTTGAAGACCCACATACTTGAAACACGATGTTTCTTCATTTCCCACTTGAAATGTTTCTCGTAATTTCGTGATAATCTTCTTTTCAAATGTTTGACTGCCAGACCACATAAAGTCACCAACGTCGTGTACAGTAAAAAATTCCTTCCAACTCAATGCCATTATGCCAATAAAAAACGGCAGGATCTGCAAGAGTAGTCTTGCATCCATTTTCCAACATAAAATTTCGAACTCTGTCGTACCATTTCAGTGAAGCATTAGTCAGTCCATATACACATTTTCTTAATTTCCATATAATTCCCTCTTTACAATTTGTTTCTTTAGGTGGCATAAGATACACATTTCGCTTAAGCTCCTCCCCTTGTAGAAATGCAGTTTTAATGTCAATACACTTTAATTGCCATCGTTTTTGTTGCACAATAGCTATGACAGTTCGCAATGAGTCTTTACAACATGTTGGTGATTCTTTTTCAATATTTTCTAAATTACTCTCTTCAAAACCACGAGCAACAAGTCTAGCTTTTGGGAACATTTTATCACAATTTTGTTTCATTGTGCAAACCCATCTTACAGAAATACATTTCTGATTATTATATGGACATTCTTCATATACGCCATTTTGTATCCAGCTTTGGAGTTCTCTATTTTTCGCTAGAGAAAAATCCACCGAATCTGCAACAAAAACGTCACAATCAACCGTTTGACCAGATAGAGTAGCTGTTTTTGTTTGTTCAGATTCTGAAATGGGATCGTTTTCATTAAGAATATCGACAGCATCAAAGTCTATAGATTTTTGCTGGCCTTTCAAAGATTGTGGTGATTCATACTGCACGTTATACCAATTTTTAAATCGGCCAGTCGCTTTTCCTGCTCTTCCTAAAATTTTAGCGCTGTAGACCAGGGGTTCTCAAACTTTTGGTGTTGCGGAGCCCTTGAAAAGGTTAACTATTATTCACGGAGCCCCAAAATAAATGTTAAAATTGTTACTTTCGGATTAATATTCCTGAGCAAGTTAAAAGTACTTTACTCAATTTAAATGCTGAACCTTTTTTGAAAGGGTTAATACAAGTCATAAAAAAATCTAAATTTCAAACATAAATTATATATACTAAAGCTGTAAATTTGACACTTGACAAACATGGTCGAATCTTTTCCCTTTTGACATGTTTGGAAGACTTAAAAGGCCGCTAATAATGTGCGCGATTGCATTTTGTTACAATCGCCGATTTTTCCTCAGCATGGCGTGTTTTTGAACCTTTAAACATCTTCACGCCGGTGTTTATTCTCCCTGATTCAAATTTCCCTCTGCATATACATGTATTGTTACACAATGACGACGTTAATAGCTTTTGTGTTCTCGTGGGGAATTATGAGTTCAATGTGAAAAACATGTTACCATATTATAGTCATCGGCGACGAAATGCTAAAAATAATAATTAATAAAGAGTTAAATCTGCAACTCAAATTTCTTGATTAAAAAGCGGCATTCTGAAATATTAAAACTAAAACTTAAAATGGAAGATCACACGTTTGGTTTCAGCAGACTCACCTAGGATTGAAAACGCTTTTATAGACATTGCAAATCACAGAATTTGGTGTTATGTTAGGTTTTCACTGCGAAATCGAAACACAAGTCAATTGTGCGCGCGATGTAGGCCTACCTTTTTTTCCCTTTTTGAAACTACCGACGGAGCCGCACGCAATCAATTGTGCGCGCGATCCGCGATGTACCTTTTTTCATTCTGAAACTACCGACGGAGCTGAATGCAATAAAATAAATTTCAATTGTTCGTATTTTGCCCAGACATTGTGTTTTTTTAAAGGGCGATATCTTGCTTAAAAATAATCTCAAGTGCGAAAGAACAAATCAAGTTTGACGAATTCCAATATCGCAAAAATACGACTCCAATTTATTGATAGTTGGCAGTTTATCACATATTTTATGTTATTTCAGAATAATATTCTTCCATTTTAGTAATCCTAATAGTAATCTCGAATCAAACGTGAGTAACGATGAGCACAATTACATTATAACGACGAGACACGTTAAATGCTCGCATTGGTCATGGATTGAATATTTCACACAACAGAAATCTCGTTATACGTTTTTTTTTAATCGCGAAGTATGTTGCGCGGTAATTTCCGATTCCAATTTTGAACCACCTCCCTCTTAAGAATCCTGGCTGCGCTCCTGCTTATAAATAATGTCATTTTTTAATTCAGCCTCTTTGCCATATTTCGAGGCCATATTGTTGTCAGATTTTATCAAAGCTGTTATTGCTTCTTTAAACAGTTACAAAATTAGTCAGTATTTTGAAAAGTAATCGAATAGCTCGCGGAGCCCCTGGGTTCCTCTCGCGGAGCCCTGGGGCTCCGTACGGAGCACTTTGAGAACCTATGCTGTAGACAGTTCCATCATTCTGTTTATATTTGACAATTTGTGATTTCTTTATACTTCTAGATTCACTTTTGCCATGTGAATGGCTATTCTCGTTTGAGCGAATTTGTTGTTCCGAATCAGTTAAAAAAGGTTCATCATCGTCAAGTTTGCTGGACATTATACAATGCAATGAACTTAAAAACCATGTAAAGTTTATCTGCCCTCAAGGCAGATACACATATACAGGTCCTTATCCAGGCCTGTCATAAACTAGAATGAACCATCACACCAAAGTAACACCCTCACACGCACACATGTAAACAAGTAATAATTACTCAATAACAACAAGTAATGGCCTGCTTCCAGAGGACAATGATGAACCTGGTAAAAGAAGAAAACCTGATCGGTGTTTTCGCGTATCTCGATAACATTACCATTTGTGGGCATACTCAACAAGATCATGATATCAACTTGCAGAAGTTTCTAGAAGCCGCTAAACGACGAAATCTAAAATTGAACGAAAACAAAAGCATATTTTCGACCAGAAAACTCCAGATTCTAGGTTACGAGATCGACGAAGGCCAAATAGGTTCGGATCGTGGGAGACTAGAACCTTTGCGGCGTTTGCCGATTCCTACCTCATTTTCTGCTTTGCAGCGTTGTCTTGGGTTTTTCTCGTACTACTCAAAGTGGATACCAAAGTTTTCTGATACAATCAGACCACTAGCATCTGCGAAAAATTTTCCTCTCGACGACCAGGCAATTCATGCGTTTCAAGAATTGAAGCGACTCGTAGAAGCTGCTGTCGTTATAGCTGTGGATGAAACTTTACCTTTTGAAGTAGAAACAGATGCCTCTGATGTAGCATTGGCTGCAACCCTAAACCAAGGTGGGAGACCAGTGGCTTTTTTCGCTCGCATGCTACAAGGTCAAGAACTCAAACATCCTTCAATAGAGAAGGAAGCAAAGACCATCATTGAGGCTGTTCGTCATTGGCGTCACTATCTCACTTGTAAACATTTCACTCTAATAACAGATCAGAGATCCGTATTATTTATGTTCAATCGAAATCACAGAACAAAGATCAAAAATGATAAAATTATGCGATGGCGACTAGAACTCTGCTGCTATAGTTTTGACATTCGTTATCGTCCTGGGCAAAAAAATATTCCCTCTGATGCACTTTCAAGAATATCGTGCGCAACTGTACAAGATCCCGAAAATCATCTTTTGTATAAACTTCATGACGCTCTGTGTCACCCAGGAATTACGAGAATGTCTCACTTTATTCGAGTCAGGAATTTGCCATATTCGATGGTTGACATTCGAAAAGTTATTTCAACATGTCCTGTTTGTTGTGAATGCAAGCCCCGATTTCATAAACCTGACATCGGGCACCTTATTAAAGCTACACAGGCATTTGAACGTCACAATATAGACTTTAAAAGACCTCTATATACCGTCAAACAATAATAATCGATACTTTCTGTGCGTAGTCGATGAATTTTCGAGATTTCCGTTTGCATTCCCATGTTCAAATGTTTCCACAGCAAGTGTTATTAAATGTCTCACGCAACTATTCACTACATTTGGAATGCTTGCTATTATACACTCAGACAGAGGTTCTGCTTTCATGAGTCAAGAACTTCGCTCTTTTCTCAATGACAAAGGTATTGCAACAAGTCGCACCACACTATATAATCCTGCAGGAAATGGACAGGTTGAACGTTTTAATGGCACGATATGGAATGGGGTGAAGTTGGCGCTGAAATCGAAACGTCTTCCTGTTCAATTGTGGCAAGAAGTTTTGCCTGATGTTTTGCATTCCATACGGTCGTTATTGTGTACAGCCACCAATGAGACTCCTCATGAGCAAGTTTTCAAATTTGCTAGAAGATCTATGTCTAGATGTTCTATTCCATCCTGGATGTCAACGCCGGGACTAGTGCTTTGAAAAGATATGTCGAAAACCGAACCTTTAGTTGATGAAGTCGAGCTTCTGGAAGCAAATCCACAATATGCTCATGTTCGATTTCCAGACGGCAGAGAAACAACTGTGGCCTCAAAACATCTGGCCCTGTCGGTTACGAAATTTTCAATGAATAATCAAGGGACGGATGATGTCAAACATAAACACCAATTGCACGTTTAGAGACGAGTCTCGATTCAACCTATGTCTCCATCTATCAATCAAGGAACAATAAAACTCAAACGCAAGAAGATATTGTTGAAAATAATATTGTCTCTAGATCTCCATCTCCTCCAGTTCTAAGGAGATCAACCAGGAACGCCGAACCGTGACAGACTAAATCTCTAAAGTGGCGGTGAATGTGATAACTTGTAAATGCAACGCATGTATCTATTTGTTTATACAGCTGCAAGCCCAGCGATAATTGCTGTGGCGTTTTAAATCAGACACCAATCATTGCTGTGCTGTAGATGTAGTTTGTTAATTCTTTCAACTTTTTTCATTTAACTATTGAGCCGCTTACTGTTAGCATCACCAATCGATACCTATTTGTTTTCTTGTTTAATAACATTTACTTGTGTTATATTTTTACTTTAGATTCATTCTAAGAGTGCTTAAATTTAAGTTGAATGAAGCTTATATCAAGGTACTATATTTCTCATTCATTACAGGTTTCGACTTTGGACCTACGTGTTGTCACACGCTTAGCAACGTTTTTATTTTCTCCCAATTGTTTGAATTCGACAATACATATTTGTACAA